AAATGATCCGAAACTATCCTGAAACACACCTGAGGCCTCCAGGACCCCGTCCAAATCGCACAAACCAGTCCCATAACATAACACAGACCTGATCGAGGTCTCAAATCACATCAAAATCATGAATCGCGCCCCAATTCAAACTTAATAAACTTTAGAACTTCAAACTTCTACATTCGATGTCGAAAACCATCAAATCACGTTTGATTGATCTGAAATTTTGCACACATGTCACATTCGACATTACAGACCTACTCCAACTCCCAAAATCGGATTCCGACCCCAATATCAAAAAGTCTACTCCCGGTCAAACTTCTCATAAACCTTCAGATTTGTAACTTCCGCCAAATGACCCCAAAATGACCTACAGACCTCCGAATCCACTTTCGGTTGCGCTCCTAATACCAAACTCACCATACAGAGCTATTCCCAGACTTGAAAATCCAAACGTACATCGATAATATTGAAATACACTTCAACCCAAATTTATGAAAATCTTCCAAAATGCCAACTTCTACAATAGGTGCCGAAACACTCCTGGATCATCCAAAATACAATCCGGACATACGCCCAAGTCCAATATCATCATACGAACCTGTTGGAACCTTCAAATCTCTGTTCCGAGATCGTTTACTCAAAAACCATACTTTAGTCAATTCCTCCAACTTAAGGCTTCCGAAATTAGAATTCTCTTTCCAAATCAACTCCAAACTTTCCGAAATTCAATTCTAACTATGCGTACAAGTCATAATACCCGAAGTGAAGCTGCTTATGGACTCAAACTGTCGATCAATATGCTAGAGATCAAAACGACCGGTCAGGTCATTACACTTAGATTTTTCCCAGTTTAACACCTATTACTTGATGAACTGAATACTATTAAACCCCTTTAACCATTGACCATGCTTACGTAGCCTTTACTTAGATGATGTGGCTAAGATGTGTGTAGTCCAATTTTCTAAGGAGCGTGAAAGTGGTAAACTTTTATTTATAAAGAAATGATTGAAATAAAAAAATAAAAAGAAAAAGGTTCAAAAAAAGAAGAAAGAAACAATTCACTTTCTTCATCTTCCCCCTTCTTCCCATCCCGAGTTCACTCCTAACCCCTTCATTCCGCTTCCTCTTGATTTCTCCTTTTCCCCCTATCTATCAAATCAAACCCAGAAAATGCTCCATCACAAATCCTTCAACCTTCACGCAAAACTACATTCGTTAAATCATCTTCGTCTCAAATACAGAAAATCACCATTAATGCTTTCACAAAACTTCAGAAAAAAACATACAAAATCGCCATCTTCGTCTTACAATGCTCACCAAGAAAAAAATCAAAAAACCATATCTATTGATAAAAGATTAGAGATGAGAATATTTTTGTCTGTTTCCTATCGAGGGTCCTTTTTATCGGCAATTGATTTTTTACTAGTTTATCTTTTTATTCTTCTTCGTCGAGCAGTTTTATAGAGAAAAGTGGTAGTAAGATGGTATTATGTGTTGTGTGTCTATTGAGAATTTATAGTTGAGGGAGATGGTGGAGATGAGGCAGTAGAGGGGGTGCTGGTGGAGGTAGTTGCGGTGAAGGGGAAGGCGTGGAGTAGAAAGGACAAAAACTTTTAAATTTACTAGTAAATTTATTTTTAAAAGATGTAGGACCACAAATTATATGTGACAAATAATAAAAAGTTAAGCATCAAACATATTATCCAAGTCACCGCAATTGAGGTACACGCTCACTCCAAGTTGTTTATTAGTATTAAATTTGTTAAGTTGAGGTGTTAAAATAAACAACCCAAGAGTTTATTTACAAGCTTGACAAATGGATGCAAGTTTAGGTGGCCTTTGTACTTTTTGCCTTTTTTATGGCGAAATGGCCTAAGGGCCACTTATACTTGCACTTGTTTGTCATCCCGATATATAAACTTAGACCTTTCCCAGTTTAGCACCTATACTTGATGAACTGAATACTAATAAACCCTTATGAACATTGACCATACTTATGTGGCCTTTAATTAGATAATGTGGCTAAGGTACGTGTAGTCCAATTTTCTAAGGAGCGTGAAAGTGATAATCTTCATTTATAAAGAAAGGATTGAAATAAATAATGAAAAGAAAAAGGTTCAAAAAAAGAAGAAAGAAACAATTCACTTTCTTCATCTTCCCCTTTCTTCCCGTCTTGATTCCACTCCCAACCCCTTCATTTCGCTTCTTCTTGCTTTCCTCTTTTTTTCCTATTTATCAAATCAAACCCAAAAAATGCTCCATCGCAAATTCTTCATCGTTCATGCAAAACTGCACTCGTTAAATAATCTTTGTCTCAAATACAGAAAATCACCATTCATGCTTTCACAAAGCTTTAAAAAAAAAAAAAGATCGTCACCTTCGTCTTACAATGCTCACTAAGAAAAAATTCAAAAAACCCATCTCTCTTAATAAAAAATCAGAGATGAGAATATTTTAGTTTGTTTCTGATCGGGAGTCCTTTTTTATCGGCCATTGATTTTTTTCTAGTTTATCATTTTATTCCTCTTCGTCGAGCAGTTTAATAGCGGAAAGTGGTAGTAAGATGGTATTATGTGTTGTGTGTCTATTGAGAATTTACAGTTAAGGGAGATGGTGAAGATGAGACAGTTGAGGGGGTGGTTGTGGAGGTAGCTGCAGTGAAGGGGAAGGAGTGGAGTGGAAAGGACAAAAATTTCTAAATTTACTAGTAAAATTAATTTTTAAAAGACATGGGACCATAAATTACATGTGTCAAATAATAAAAAGCTAAGCATGTGATATATTGACAAGAGTGTGTTGCTCTAGTGATAAATATCCTCCACTTCCAACCAAGAGGTTGTGAGTTCGAGTCACCCAAAGAGAAATGTGGGAAGTTCTTGGAGGGAGTGAGATGAGGGTCTATCGGAAACAATCTCTCTACCCCAGGGTAGGGGTAAGGTCTGCGTACACACTACCCTCCTCAGACCCCACTAGTAAGATTATACTGGGTTGTTATTGTTATTATTATTATTGTTGAGCATGTGATATATTATCCAAGTCACCTCAATTGAGGCACACACTTAGTCCAAAGTGTTTATTAGTATTCAATTTGTTAAGTTGATGCGTTAAAATGAAAAATCAAGAGTTTATTAACCGGCTTGACAAATGGATGCAAGCTTAGGTGGCCTTTGTACTTTTTGCCATTTTTGCTTACATTGTGAGAAGCACCGATTTTGGATGATAAGTACGAGGGAGAGAGAATGAGATATGAATTATTTTTGAAAAATAGATGAAATTCGAATTTTTAGGAGGGGGTTGGTGAAAGAGAGAGAATGAGATGCTAAATTTAGGGAATCTTCTCAACAAGAATAACAACAACATTCCGGTGGAATCCCAGAAGTGGGGACTAGGGAGGGTAGTGTGCACGTAGACTTTACCCCTACCTATGAAGATAGAGAGACTGTTTCCGAAAAACGCTCGGCTCAAAAATAAATTTAGGGAATCTTCTATTTTTTTTATTTATGGTTTTGTACTTAAATGGTAAATATGGATATAAAATTTAATTAAGTACGAACCTATATAAAAGTGGTAGATTAGTTTCTATTATAGTATAGCTAGGTAAATTTGCCCACTTTTAAAATGTAAAATAGTTGACAATATTTTGTGCAAAGTAAGGTAGGTAACATTCAATTTGTATTATGATTTTTCAAACGTCAATGTATACAATATTAAAAGTTATTGAATGATCTTCAAATTGATTTAATTCAACTTTTAAATGCTAAAAATTTTCTTTAGAAGTACTTGCCGTAGCAAAATTGAAGCTTATAAAGAAATATAATTTAAGAACCAAGCAAATAGTTTTGTATGAAAAGGAAAATAAAGAAGCAAAATTGGTTTTGTACGGTAAATACAAGGAAAAGAAACTTACCTTCTACTTCTTCATATTCTCTTATATTTTCTTACTAACTTTTTGTCCGTGTTAAGAAGAAGATACTATCTAACATAGAATTATATCGGAATAATTTTAGTTGATTTCAAACTCCTAAATACTAGGTAATAAGTAGTATTTAATAATTAAAATTTTACTTGTTTTTGAAGTACTAAATATTAAGAAAGTAACTTAAATTATAATTTTATATAATATAAAACTTATTTTTAAACATATGTACCGTTAATGTTAGCATGTTGAAAAATCACAAGTAACAAAGTAAAGAGAAAAAGGTCTAAATGTGATTGTTTGAAAGGAAAATAAATCTAAAAGAAATGCAAGATTTAATTTGGAAGGAAAAATTTTCCATAAAATATTTTCTCCGTTTTCTCGTAATTAATTACCTAGTAATTATACAACAAGATAGTTAACTGTTTGACACTTTCCTAATATTTTTAACTAGTGAATTTGTTCGCGCTACGCGCGATTATTAAAGAAAATCAAATATGACTAAATAATTATTGTTAAAAAATTTATAAAAGAAAAATCAATCTTTACTTTTCGATCAATTTTGTCTTTTGTATGCTCCAACAGCAACCCTATCAATTCTTCTAATTATATTCTCAAGGTTGCTACCAAATGGGAAAGAGAACCCAGCTCAACAACTCAACATCGGCCAAATGAGAGATAATGCATTCTCAAGAAATAAGCCAAGAAATTTATTCCCCGTTAACAATGATATCTTAACAATCAAATAAAAGATCAAAGCCTCGAAATTGGAAAATATATCGGTTTAGTTTCCTCGTATTGTTTATTCAGTTTCATCACCCAAACCTATCTTTAATTGACGGCACTTCGATCTGTTGTCTACTCTCTCAAACCTACATGATTATGCATCCTCTAATGCATATTTTCCTTTCTCTATATTTTTATCATTTGATTTTATTTTTTTATTCACATCACATAATGTTAGAGAATTCCTCCCACAAAATCTTTTTTTTTTCATTTTTTTTAAAAAATCAAAAATCCATCATTATGATGGAGAGGTAAGGCATGACCTCAACCTGTATATATTAAAGTTAACAGCAACCCGGAGGAGGACATAAACCTTTGCTTCACTTACATAGCGTAAATTGATGTACACCAATCTAATGAAATGTTGTATACAGATGACTATTTGAAGAGTGGATGACTCCTCCTTACACTTTGATAATTTCATCAGTACAATCAAATCCATAACAAAATCAAATTATGACATCATTGATTGTAAACTGATTCTTCTTTTGTCTAAATCTGAAGTTCGGCATGTTGTCTTGATCTAACTTCAAGGAAGCTCTAATTTTTATAGGAAGAGAAACGGCTTGGTTGGAGATAACGACAACTCCAAATGTCACACATCCGCCGCCTACCTACCGTTTAGGTGGCAACAGCGAGATCCAGCTAAGGTAAGGAACTTCGTGTCACGGCTGCTCCACTCCGCTGCGCTGCGGTCTCATGAACTGAACTTCGTTGAAACGTCTTGGAACTTTCTCCCAACTTGGCCAGATGGTCTTAGAATTCTTCTAATGGTGTCTGAAGAAATTCCCATATTGATGAGTTTCTGTGCGCAAAGTTTTTTATTGAGACAACTTTTCACCTAGATAAAGAAAAACAGAAAAAGCGAAAATAGATATACAACCTAATCTTTCTGTTTGAAGAAATAACTTTCTAGAAACCGCATGTTCAATTTCGAAGAAGGATACAATGCTACATCGACGATTTGATATCTTGTTTTAAAAAAATGACTGAATAACTCTTTTACTTGCTATATACGTATTGCACAATACTCAAAAAAAATCTTTTACTTCCAAATGCTAGTTACAGAACAGAAAGTATATATGTTCTTTCGATTATGTAATCTCACTATATGACAAAGAGGAAATGATCTCATACACACATTTACAATTTGAATAACAAAAAAACATTACTAATGACCGTAAAGGCCAAACTTCTCCACTCTTGAAAAATCAATAGTCCCAACACCTTGAAGAACACTAAAGGCTTCATCTCGATTAAAACAGTAAACTCTATCAGAATCAGAAGAAAATCATGCCAAAATTAATTTTCAGTTATAAGCAACATGGAATTTCTCAAACAAACTTATTTATAAAAATCAATTAATAAATCATGTTTTAGCCCAAATAATTTACTGCTGGAAATTCAAACACTGTTATACTGGCCAGCGAAGTAGTTTTCCAGATCATGAAAATCAATTGACTCATATTTAATCCTCCCACTAAACCCAAACTAAATCATTCTATACTCTATGAAAACATCTTAAGTTGAGGGCCATTGGAAGTTAAAAAACATCTGCAACCCAAATAAGAACTCCATTATTTAGTTTCTGAAGTTGTCTTGACTTTCTAATTATGAAAGCAATTAATAAGCATCCCTCTGGTGTATCTAAGCATTCATATATTTGAAGACAAAGACTGTCATTCAACAATAAATTATATTTATATTACAAAAAATAATATCCATCTCAACAAAACACAAGTTTAAACCTTTTCATCTTTCTTATTCTTTTTCCTAACAACAACTAAGGAAGCCTCTTAAATAGATTTGGAGATTGATCAATTCACAGATTTTATATGTGCAGTTGTATTTGGCTAAAGCAAAATCAAAGATGAATAACAAACAAAGATAGAGCAGAAGAAATGCTATTTTTACGGAGGAAGAGCAAAAAAAGAATGCCTCTTTCATTGAAGCAAGAAAATATTGTTTCTATAATTCATCCATCAAAATGCAGTTGCTCACTTTTCTTTTTAAACTTTCTTTCTTATTCCCTATTATTTGGACCTTGAAGTGGAGACAGACACCAATTTGAACAATTATTACGACCATCTTAACAGTCCAAGATTCAAGCTCTAACCTCCAATGTAATTAGAAACAATAAAAAGAGAAACACACGGGTGCTAAATTTCGTAAAATTGACATCTTAGTTGGACATGAAAATCCATAGAAACTGAAAAATTATGTCTGTGCAATTCACACTAAGCGTACTTTCAGTACAATTACAGAACCCATAAATGGTGCAAATACCAATGCAAACACTTTCTTTTTGCACTCTTCTTTTTTTCTTAACATAAATCTCACTCTCAAAACTAACAATGTCAAGGCCAAAAAGGAAAGGAAGAAGAAGAAGAGGATAAATTTTCTCAGAATTCCAATGCTTTGTTAGCTTGTCGCTCCAATAATTGAAACAGTCTGTTAGAGTAATTATTTTACAAGAGGCGCAAACCTGAGTTGGATGCTGTCTAGGACCATCTCCTGCATTAATAATTGAAGTATTGGTAGTGACAGTTGCTCTTCCAGCAACACCACAAGTGTGTCAAACAATAATATCAGAACAATCTTTACCATTCTAATGATATCTGCAAAACAAACTTAGTTATAATAACCCACAATCTTGATTATGTTTCCTCAACCATACTATTATAACTCTCGTTAGCCTTATCTTTATATTAACTGAGAAATATTTAAGAGAAAACCAGAATATTTTTTTTGGATACTGGAAGTGGATGTAATCATAATACTGCACAATTCAAAAGAGTAACAAACAATATTCAATTCATGAGTTTCAATTATCATACGTATATAAACCAAGAAAATTGTATATGAAAGAGGGGATTAGGATTAGGGCAGTGGAAAAAATTATTCATGTCGATCAGTAAGGGATTCGTAATCATCTGTGTGTGCCCGAGCCTGAGACATACTTTATCGAAAAATAGGGATTGATAGTTGCCGATTAAGATGGTAATGGAAATAATGAAGCACCATTGGAATTGAATCCGCTTTGTTGTTTTTTTTTTTTGGCTTTAAGTGCTTGCAATTGAAGCGGTGAAATAATTGCTTTGAAACGTGCTTGTTTGAAACGGTTTGGGGTATTTGCTTTGAAACGTGCCGGTTTGAAACGGCTCAGGGAACTGTGAATGTTGCAGCTTTTCGGGTATGAATGAATCCTAAAAATAAGGAAAAAACCTCAAAAATTTGATAAATTAGATAAATGTCATTCCTGTTCAATGGCATGTGCCACGTCATTGGTAAAAAGCCCTGCTTTATAATTATATATAGATTTTTAATATAAAAAATTCAAGTACTAGTACCCCAGCAAGTTAGAAATATTCTGTGGGAGTTTAATAGTTGGTTACCAAATCCCACATTAAAAGCCGAAACATCCGGTGATCAACCTTTCTTGTTCCTTAAGGAAAAGGGCAAGCCAGTCATTTACAGTGTTTGCCAACCCTAATACATCTACCTTTTCCCCCTATAAAAAGGGTGAATGCCTTTTGGTTTGCCATTGTGGCTCTACTCACTATGGAGAAGAGAGAATATGAATCTAAAATTAAGAGTAAATTGGCTCAACATTAATAACAAACTCAGCGAAATTTCACTTAAGATCTTCTCTATATATGGAAACTATGTATGAGACATGAATCTATTTTTGTGAAGAAGTTGATCACAAAAAGGATGAGAACATCAATGAAACTTGTGTTTGAAGGAATTGGCATGCTTATTCTTGTATGGTAAGTTGTTTTGTGTTAGTACCATCTGTATCTTTTCTTATTTGACTTGCTCTTCTAATGTTTGCATTTGGTTTTGAAATTGTTTGTTAAAGAATTTGGCTATTAGTTTGGTTTTCAAAAACACTTGTGCTATAATGGGTTTAGTTCTTGCAAAATTTATTTTTAATATTTGTGGGTTTGGATTTGGAATCTTTTAATTCTATGTTAGATATTCTAAATAAATCCTAAATTAAACCAAAATCAAATCTACTAAGGGTAATAAAAGATATTCAATTCAATTCAATTGTACTATGAATGAAAATAATGTTGGATATCTATTTTTTAGTTTTTTCATGGCTTAGAACATAACTTATTTTTCTTTTAGTGTTTAGTCATAAATAATAATACATTCGTTCCAGTTTATATGAACATATTTTCTTTTTAATCCGTTTAAAAAAGAATGACCCCTTTTTAAATTTGGAAATAATTTTGCTTAAACTTACAATTCTATCGTTAATGAGAAGCTTTTATAACCACACAAATACTCTTTGCCCCTTTTTGAATTGTTTAGGACCACAAATTTCAAAAGTTTTTATTTTTTCTTAAATTTCGTGCTCAGACAAACATGCTCACATAAATTGAAACAGAGGGAGTAGTATTTATTAGTCGTACTTATTTTAGCAACTTATTAGTAATTTTAAATTATGTTTGTTTTTATTATGGCTTATTAATAATATTTATTTTATGCGATTTTCTCATCTTTATTTTGGATATTTTAGTACAATGCCATGAATCATCTCATATTTATGTTATTTTATTAAAAAACACCTTATATAGTTCTGTCTTACTAGGATTAAAGAAATATTTGGAGCATAAATTCTATGTTTTGTGCTACGAAGACTTTATGGAAAGAAAAACCGAAACAACCCAAAAATCCGAAATATCCAAGATTTAAAACCCCGACTTTGATTAGTTTGGTTTGATCTTTAAATTTAATAATCCGATATAATTAATTTGGTTTGATAATTAAAAAATTCAAACCAATTCGACCTATGTACGCGCCTCACAGTTATTAGTGTTGATGGTGGTTGATAGTGTTACAGTGCGCTGGAGGCTAGTAATAGAGGTTGTTGGTGATAGTGACAATTTGATAACGCTTGATGATTGATACTCTTTATTTTTTTAAAGTGTTAGAGTTCTCTTGAGATATCTTGATTAGTTCACCAAATATCTAGTACCTTTAATTAATATTTATATTGTTGGCTTTAGCCATCAATTAAACAAATGAAAAGAAATACTTCATCTCCTTATTTCTTCTGCTGTACGCCACACTTGTAGTCTTGTTGATGAGACGATGATGGTGTCTTACCAGAGTAACATAATCTTACATACTACTTTACATATTAAGTGGGTGTTTGGACATAAGAATTGTAAAATTTCAAAAAAAATAAATTTTTTTTCAAGTAAATGTAGTATTTGGAAATTAGAGTTGTGTTTGAACATGAATATAAGTTTGGGTTATTTTTGAATTTTTGTGAGTGATCTGAGTGAAAAATTTCGAAAAATAGTTTTTTTGGAGTTTTTTAAATTTTTCGAAAAATTCCAAAATTTATCTTCAAGTGAAAATTGAAAATTTTATGGCCATTTCGAAAATAAGTGATTTTTTCCCGAAAATAAGCGAAAACAATTTCATGGCCAAACGGGCACTAAGACTTGTCACGTGTAATTGAACTAATCGCCAGTTTGACCAAATACAATTTTTTTTTTTGCTAAAAGTATTTTTTTTTTTGAAAGTTATGTTTGGCCAAGTTTCTAGAAGGACCGGTTTCTAGAAGCAAAAAAAGGTACTTCTTCCCAAAATATTTTTTTGAAAAAATACTTTTGAGAAAAATACATTTAAAAATGCTATTTAAAAGCGTGATCAAATACTAATTGATATTCAAAAATATTTTTTAGATTAATTAGTCAAACACAATCTACTTTTATCAAAAATAATTTTAGAAAAATTAATTTTCAAAATAAACAGATTGATGTAGGTCCATCAGTGGTGATTGATGTTGGTCCATAGGTAACTCTGTCCTTTTCCTTGAACAGATAGCCCTATGGTTGTTTGATATTTGGGGAGGAATTAAAAAATAGTTAGATTTATAAGTGGTAATTGAAAAATAGTTAAAGTTTCAAAAGTAATTAAAATTTAGTCACTTTTTATGTAAAGATAAATTTGAACGAAAATACTGTTCAAAATTCGGAAAATATTCCAGCATAATATATTGGAGTTCGAATTTTTTACATTTGGAGTTTCAGCATAATATACTTGTGTTCCAGCATAATATACTGGAGTTCCAGCATAATATACTGGTCCAGCATAATATGCTGGAAGTTCATACATATGTGTTCCAATCTTCAGTATATTATGCTAGAACTTTTTGTGTGCTAGAGTTCCAGCATAATATACTGGTCCAGCATAATATGCTGGAAGTTCATACATATGTGTTCCAATCTTCAGTATATTATGCTAGAACTTTTTGTGTGCTAGAGTTCCAGCATAATATGCTGGAAGTTCATACACATGTGCATTAATCTCCAGTATATTATGCCAGAACTTTCCGTACTGTAGCAAAATAATATTGGCTATTTTTAAATAAATTTGTAAGTGCTGTTTATTTTCAATTACTAATCCGAAAACTGACTAACCAGCGTTATTTTCACGATATTTGGCCTGGTATCATGGTCCAACTTTTCCTGAATTGGACTTTCGTCTCTAAGCTATCACATGCCTTGAGCTGGAATACCCGGCAAATATGTACGTAATAGGCATTTTCTTCGTCCCATTTTCTGTATCATACTTTTTTTTTTCCAATCTCAATGAATAATAAATTTCTATTTTCAAAACGATCTAACTTTAAATATCAGTTTGCTTTTAACGAGTTTTAGCTACACAAATGCACATTGGGACGTGCTTTAGACCAAATTTTTTTATAAAAAAATCTTAAGCATCATGCCTAATAAATACTTTTTTTTTTTTGGTAACATTGTGAATATTATCATTGATCAACCAAATGATTATACATATTAAGCATTTTACATCATAATCACCTCCTCAAAGGTTCTATGAATGCTCCATCTCAACACTATCTATACATCAATGATATTCCTCAAGAATTCCCTACAGCTATTTGCCTTGACTTATGAATATTACTTAATCTAACTAATGTTTCCTGCTTAATCTGTTCTGTAGTATCTGCACTATTTACATTAGCTCCTTTAAAGTTCTTTCAATTTCTTGCCTTTCATATATGATAGAAGTCAACTCCCATTGTTGATGCAACTCTTTCTTTCTTTAACTGTTTCCATTTCTTCTTTTTGATGTTATTCATTGTGCTCGCTATGTCTCCTTCTTGCAATTGTACACCAAGCCATCTCAGCATCTCAGCACGAACATTCTTTATCCAGTTGCATTCTACAAATAAATGCTGACTTGTTTCAGTTTTTTATTCATCACATAAACAACACTCCACATTGTCTACATGAATCTGCAACTTCACCAGCCTTTTCTTTGTTAGTAGTCTCCTTTGAGCTCTCGGCCACACAAAAAACCTTTGTTTTGGCTGTGCTACACTACTCCATATCAAATTTGCTATATGCAGTCTTTGCATTTCCCCTAGCAGTGCAATATAACTCCTAGTTATTGAGTAACCACCACCCTTTCCCAAGTTGTACACTCCTTGTTCATACCATCTATTCATGTCCTCCTTTAAAGAGTTAATCTTCTTTCAATACCAACTACAATCAGTTGGTATCTTATGAGTCCAAATGTTAGTATCAGTTTTCATATATAGTCCGTGCACCCACTTCACCCATAGAGCTTCTTTGTTATTGAGTAGCTGCCATAATAATTTCCCCACTGATGCCACATTCCATAGTTTACTTCCTTTAACATTCAGCCCACCAAATTTCTTAGGAAAACATACTCTTTCCCATGCCACTAAGGCCAGTTTCCTCTTGTTTTCAATACTCCCCCAAAGGTAGTCCCTACATATGTTGTCAACCTTTTTTACCACAACCTGAGGTAGGATGAATACAGAGCTTCAGAAGTTGTAGATGGAGAACATCACAGAATTTACCACCTGCAATCTGCCTGCATATGACAGCTGCTTAGAGTATCAAGTTTTTATCCTGCTGGTTATTCTGTCTACCAACTGACATCAATCCAATTTATTCCATTTCTTAGATGAAAGGGGAAGTCCAAGATATCTAGTTGGGAAGGAACCTTGAGTAAAACCTGTTTTTGCTAATAACTGCTCCTTTGTTAAGTCATCCACCCTAGCAATGAAAATATTGGATTTATCTTGTCTTGGTTAGCAATTAATCATGATGCCTCACTAAAGTGATTCAAAGCTTCTACCACCCTATTAAGTGATGCCAGATTGCCTTTTCAGAAGATCATAAGATCATCTGCAAAGATCAAGTGAGTTAACTTTAGTTGCTTGCACATGGGGTGAAACCGAAAATACTTAGATGTTCTCATTTTTTGCGACATTCTTTCTTTTTTAGCATATTCCAAAAAGAATGAGATAATTCTTAACTTGAAAACTATTTTATTTTAACATCCACATTTTATCTTTATTGCTATGACTTGTTTGGACTCCACTTGATATAAAAAATATATTATTCGTATTAGGAGAGAAATTGAAAGTGATATCGGAAACCTTACCACTTGTAATTTTAAATTTTGACCAATTTTAGAACCACAATTCACATGATGCTTCAGAGTTCAGACTTAGTTTATAGTAGGCACTTATGGATAAAATAACTATAATTGAGTTATAGCTACAAAGCCTAATATATCTAAATTGACTCATAGCAATTCAATGGTCGATTTTCATAATTTAGAACACGTGATGTGGATTCAGAACGTTGAGAATATTTGTTGAAATGGTTTATTCTTCTCTTTTAGTACATTTGTTCTATCCAGGAATTATTTTGTACTTAGTGTCCTTTTCCCTTAAAAAAATTCTACCAACTAAATAGCAAATCCTCTTAGCAAACTTAGTACTGTTGATATACTTGTTTGGTTTCACACCCTATTGTTTGATATATCTAAACACGTCGTAGTTCAACAATTCCTAAAAGAGATAACTTGAGCACTACTAGAAAGAGTATTTGCATGAAATTTCATATTATATTCCATAAAACAGTTATATACACGTTAAAAAATTGGTTATACTACGCTGCTCTTCACTATTCCGGAGAAGCTGCCTTTATTGCACGAGTAAAGAGCAGTCCGGTGCACTAAGCTCCCGCTATGCACTATGCTGCCTTTATTGCAAGAGTCAACAACAACAACGACCCAGTGAAATCCCACTAGTGGGGTTTGGGGAGGGTAGTGTGTACGCAGACCTTACCCCTACCCCGAGGGAGTAGAGAGGCTGTTTCCGAAAGACCCTCGGCTCAACTAAGCTCCCGCTACGCACTAAGCTGCCTTTATTGCAGGAGTCAACAACTGCCTTTATTGCAGGAGTATGATAGAAAAAAGAATGTCCCTTTAACATTTATCTTCTACATGCAACAATGGTGAAGAGGACCTAAGCTGCAAGAGATGTGTATCATAATTGTCCATGGCCTAACAGCTAAAAGAACACTCGAGGCCATTAGCAGCAGCAATACCAACTGTTGACAGATTGCTACTGCTGCTAAAGAAAATTGTTAAGCAAAAGGCAAAAGTTTATACTGCTAATTCTCTAAACTATGTATGTAAGCTGCTCCAAATCTGTGACAACTTGGTTGATTGCATGAATAATCATTTTCTTTATCTGTTCCATCAAAGGATGAAATAAGTTAGTAGACAATGGAGGCTTAACCGCCAGATTAAGATAAAGCATTTTGATATGGTACCTCTAGTTTGTCTTCTCTGACCTTGTGGCCTCTTGGCAATTTCCTAAACTCCGCTGTGAGGCGGAGGCATTCTTGAATGTTTTCAGGAGAAACAAAATCGGCAGCAACTTTGGTACACGACTGGAAAGTTGAAAACGATATGGTTACTTGAGGAACTTCTGGATTTTCATGGAAAATAAAACTAGTAGGGAAATATGAATTTTTACCTTGAGATTACGCACTTGGTGAGGGCATCCTGCAGGAATGAAAACTGCCTCTCCAAGTCTTTGCTCAAAGGTCCAAGGCTCAATCCCTAAAATATTAAAAATTGACATCGTAGGTTTATTTACAAAAATGTGTTTCTCTGATTCTTGAGCAAAGATAAAGAGCAAGGTAAATTACTTACCAAATTCTTCCTTTAGTTTTCTCTTGTGCTCCAAAGTTAAGTAGAAGGTTTGATCGTGGATCGGGTGAAAAACCTGATCAACAGGACAACAGTAAGTGTGCCTAAATTCTTTTGCGTGCTTTAAAAGATACTCCTCCAACTTGGGTACGTCTTCCCTTCTGAAGATGTCCCACAAGGCACCTCCAGTCGTCTCAGGTGTTTTCTCCTCCCTTCTGATCCCACTAGATATCTTCATAGGATATCCACTGCCATCGCGCTCGAGGCTCTCTCTTTCATCTTGAGCTCTATGCTTCTGTTTCAAACTCTCAATTGCAGACTGCTGCTCATCACTTACAGCCATCTCTGCTGTGTGTGTCAAAATATTTATCTGAGCATTTCGAATTTCAAAAACATCAGCTTGTCATCAAATAAGCACGGAAAAAGTAACAAAGGGAATTAATAGCAGGTAATGCATTAACACAATCCAGAACTGGGAGAAGCAAGAAAGCTCCAAATAATGTGAGATTAAACATAAAACTGGATTGTAGGATATGGATCAGCATGTACTGTAGGTCATTCTCATATCAAACTTATTATAGAGTAGCCATGAGGTTAATGAGTCTCACTAGACAACATAAGGCAGAAGATTGGCTGAATAAGTTGCTATATTTTGGAATTAAATGTCAGTTTTCATTCCCATTTTTAAACAGCTATTTAATACTTTTCAGACACCTTGCCAAGGTCCTTGTCGACGAGGTTCCAGATTTTGGAAGTAATCTGAAGGAATACCCTCCAAATTGTGATTTTGAAGTATTAAGCAGTGCTATTCCACAAGCCAGCACGGACAGACCGCGTGATAATTAGATCTAGAGAGTACATAAATCAAAGGGGTGGTAACGATATGAAAATAAAGTGAAAAAGACACATGAAGGAACTAAACGTCCTGTTGAAACCATACCGCATCTGACATATCACAGTGAAGCTTTGTCACTGAATCCCCTCTTCCAAGTTCTTTCGTCATACCATACGCAATGTATGTCTTTGGACCCAAGTCAGGTTTTAAGACACCTGTTGGTAATTTAACGGCAAGATTCAGAATACCTATCCTTGGATCTGTGTACTCCTGGAATGGCAAAGCACTGATAAACTCATCACAGTGGCGAGGCAAGAGATCCTCAAACTTGTCAGATGGCGGCCAGTCTTTAAGTTTGAGCATTTCAGGCCAGAGATTTTTGTATGTTCTGCCCTCTGTATAGCCTTTAAAAAACTTTCGAGTATTGATCTCAACCTGCAAAAGTTTTACATAATTTAATCATTAGCACAATGGCAGATAGTTATATTCTAATAACAAGTTGAGGCTATTCAAGAAGCAACTATTTTAATATGAAGAAAAAATACTTATTGCCAAAAGGAAAAGAAAGGAAAGGATTAAGCGGAATATGGTAAGTACTAATTCTGTGCACGAGGTAGAAAATGCAGAAGATATGAGAAAGAACCTGACAACCAGCCAGGCAGTCGATAGCCTTTACTTCTGACATACTTGTAAGGATCTTTGAATCAGTGCTCTCACATAATGCACGCCACATAACCATTGGTTCCCAGCTTAAACCGCTTGTGTGCTCAAGAACATCTCGTACTATCACCGGTTCACCCTTGGCCCAGTGTCTGCGAAAGTGTAAAAGTGCATCATCCTTCATAGCGTCCTTTGCAGTAGGGGAATACAAGCAGTTATCATCTGAACCAACCCTAGAAGCCGCTTTGTGTAACAGTTCAGGGTCATCAGTTGTGCAAATTGGCTGAGAAATTATCTGGGCAAAATTGCATTGGATCAGAATTCTTTCCGCTTTTGCTTGCAAAGTTGAGATCCAGTTTTTCGGCAACAGATGCTTCAGATCTAAAATACAATTTCCACATCCACCCATTTCAACAGGAGCACACATGATATTACCATCATAATTAGCAACCCAAGTAATTGGTTTTTTCTGGTCCTGTGAAATTTCCATATTATGAAAATTTTCATGCAGTGGATCTCCACCGTGCATGTAATCATAGCCTCTGTCTAAATACTGGAAAACTGCTTCATCACTATTTCCCGGAAATTTGCCTTCCCGCAGCTCTTGGCAGCAACTTAGACAGAGCTCATATGAGCAACTTGGGCAACTTCGATGAAGATCGATTATTGAAGTTGAACAGTTGTTGCTGCTCCAAGGCCAATAAAATCATTAAGTATAAAACCTCCAAAAATAAGGACTGCAAACATAACATTTCATAATAGCAGGAAAAAAGTATATTACCAGTAAACTCGCTCATCATTTTGATAAAGTGACTGTTTAATTTCAACTGAAGATGAAGATACCCCTGTGATAAAAAACTGTATCAATGTACAATTCGTCGGACTCAATCTTTTGTTTTTTTAAACTAAGAGACATACCACGAATAGAAGACTCCATCTCTATCTCCTGGATTTGTTCCTGATGAATTTCTTTCAGAAAGGGGAGGAGTTCGATAATCAAATAGTGCAAATGCTCAATCTTTTCACGATCGGTGAGATCCCATCTTGATGTCTTCAAGGAAAGAAATATTCAGCCGTAAGTAGAAGATAAAGCGACAAGCTCATTTTATTTGATTTAAGGAAAAGACAAACCTTAAGTGTGCCACTTGAGTGTAAGCACAGGTTGCAATTACATTTTCCACGACAATATGGACAAACCTCTGAAACTTCCTCTTCTTCCAATTCAGGATACCTGTTCATCAAAAATAATTAGCAGGAAGCTTAAAATGGTGTTAAAATTTCATGCAATACTAAAAGGAAATCTTTAAGCATTTGAACAATCACCAAGATAAGAGATACACATTGGACATTTACCATTCCCTGATGCACTGGATACAGTATAATTTCTTCTTGCACTTCATACAAGGAACAACAGTTCTTCTATCACTTCTTCTGCATTGATGACACTTTGGAGGCTGAAAATTCACCTGCATATGATTCAACAGAGAAGTGTCATCATCTGAAAGAGTTCAAAGAAAAGGAGAAGAAATTCCATTTAATCTACAAGATGAATGAATAAAAAGAGCTTGACCTTCATGTTTGTAGATCTATCTATTCCACTTCTTGAAATTTTTGAACCAGAGGACGACGAGGAGGAAGGCGATGAACTACAAGCAGACAACTTTACTGAATTTTTTTTAATATCTTTTGGACTATCTTTTGGTTTCAGATCATGTGAAACATCAATTCTCTGGCTTCTTGTGTTACTTGGTATATGATGTCCATTGCTTATTGGCAAAACCTCATACCCCTCAGTATCATCTTCCCACTCACCAACATAATAATCATGACCGTATCTCTTGAATGAGGCAGCAACACGTCTTACTGATATCCTTTTATTCTCTGCATCTTTTTCATGAATTTCCTGCGTCTTTTTTCCATCCTTGGACAGACTTGGCTTTTCCTTGCACACATCCCACTCGTCTTCACTTTCATCCACCTTGTCCATTGTCTTAGGAATCTTCTTCTTGCGTGACGTTCCTAGACATTTTTCTCCATTTAATTTAGCAGGCACCCTTTTATTCCCTGAGCCTTCAATTTCTTGAGTGCCCGGCATTTTCTTTCCAACCTTGGACAAACTTGGTTTTTTCTTGCACGCGCCCCATTTTTCTCCAGTTCCATATTCCACCTTGTTCATTGTATTATCTCCTTTTTGAGTCATCTTCTTGCTTGAAGTTCCAAGAGATTGTTCTAGATTTACTTTATCAGGCATCCCTTTCCTCTGCGGATTTCCACTTAGAAGAATGCTTTTTGTGGAGGTAGAAAGTTTAAGTCTGTCCCTGCACTCGAGAGGCTCGTCTTTCACTTTATCATTCCTTTTATTTCTCATAGGTCCATTTTTAAGAACTTTTTCCTGCTTGGAAGTTCTCCAAAGCTTTTCTGAGTTTCTTAAACTATTCAAAGCTTCATCAAGTGGCATCTGAGATTTCGTTAAGGGTCCTGGACAATACTCTTCATCAAGTGACATCTGAGATTTCGTTAAGGGTCCTGGACAATACTCTTCATCAAGTGACATCTGAGATTTCGTTAAGGGTCCTAGACAATACTCTTCATCAAGTGGCATCTTAGATTTCGTTAAGGGTCCTGGACAATACTCTTCATCTTCTTCCTCTTTGCACTCCTCGTCTTCTTCATCATCACTGATGAAGTCATCCCAACTTAAAAAACTTGAATCCTTCTTTGCTGAACGATGATGCATTCTACTACGTGAGTCATCGGATTCCTTTCCAGTAGCTATTGTCTTGGTCCTCTGATGTGACGTGATCATGTTCTTCTTTGGCTTTTGTGCTGTTTTTATTCTCTCTTCCAATCCACCCGATAAACGTGCATCCTCCGGAACCCCTTTCCTGATTACAACACCAACACGCTCTGTCATAGTTCTTCTGCCACGGGGGATGACATTATCAGAACAAAGCTTTGGTTTCTTATTAGGGAACTCTGTAACGTTGAGCAGCGATGCTGCATTGTCCTTTCCGTGATTTTCTTCATCACAAGTTAGGATAAAATTTCTCTTCCTAAAAACCTTAGACGGATTTCTCATTCTTGGGGCGTTCTGACTGCTCAATGGTCGTTGTTTCGCAATTAACGTCGCCATCTTCTACCACTACACAACTGAAACATAAAACTTAATAATCTAAACAATCTGAATCTTCAGGATAAATGGCAGTGCAAGAATGTTATAAACAAATATTGAATCCACAGAATGAACCTTAGATGCTAAAATGGAATTAAATTAATCTAACATCAGCAAGCAGATTAAAATCTTAATGAAAATCTACTGTTTGTACTAATGTAAAAGCTACAGACAAAACCAGATTAATAAAAAGAATTTCCGCGGGTGACCCAAAGTCAACATAACTGGGTCAACAGTCATCACCTCAACCAATTCACCATTAAAAAAAATAACTAAAAAATAAAACCAACAGATGAAAATCTGAATCAATCTCCATTTACATACCAATTCTCAATACATCAATTTGTTGGCATTTCAATCCAAAAACAGAACCCAATTAATCAATCCTTAAAATCTATCCAAAATTCACTAAAATTCCCAATACCCATATAATATTAAAAAGAAGAAGCAAAAGAGAGAATCTGAACGAAACCCATGATCACACATATATAAAGATAATGGAAAATTCAACTCACCTGATCAATGGATCAGTTGAAACAGCCTTTCATTGAATTTCCCACAATTCTAATTCAGCATGTTAATGGGTTCAAGAAAGAAAGAGAAATTATGAAATTCGATATTTGATTAAAGAAAAAATAGGAATTAAGAAGCCGGCCGGTGGGTATTGAATAACAAGAAAAATACTCTACCCAACAAAAGAAGTATAAAGAGGGAAAACCAAAGAGAACAAAACAGTGGGTGGTAAGGTGACTGTCGCACCTTTTTTCCTATTAGGATTTTTGGGAGCTGTAAATGTAAATATTTAGGTGAGGTCACTATATGGGATTTTTGGGAAATTGTGTGACTTCAAGAATTTACCCTGATTTGACATTAAATTTCGTGGATATGCCATTTTTAGCTTTTTTTCAAAAGAAGAAAAGAAAAATATACTACAATTTTCGTCAAAACTACTATTATTTGTTTTGCAATATTCGGATTTTTAAATTCATAGGCAGATTAATAAAACTGTTATGACGAAGTGGCAACTTCTGACACATCTAACTTAATCCTAATTAAATAATAAGTTGTATGAAAAATAATATATTTTGTATTTATTGATTTAATGTAATAAATAAGTTTTTATTAAAAATATTGCTCTTTGTCCTTATTGTCAAGACTTTTACAACAAAAAGTAGTATATTTCGATATTAACGGAGTTCATCATTGAGTTAATTTCATATAAATTATAAAAATTACTTTTTTTTATTTATCTTTTAGAGATGAAATTTGTAGGCAAATTAGTAAAATTGTTATGAACAATCTACTAGTAACATGTTTTACGAATCTCAATCCTGAAAATATAACACTTCCCTTTTCTTTATTATCTAGGACTAGGACTAGGAACTACTGTGCCAACTTCAGTGTGCTAAATATTACAGAATAGCATCTCCTACTCCTTTCAGCATAAAATTTGTCATGACTTTTTCCATAAAAAAGAATTGATATTTCATGCTAACGGAATTCATTATTATAGTAATCTCATTTAAATTATAAGAATCTATATATTAATTTTAGATGAAGTTGCATTCCACAAATAACTCGAATTTTATTTTCGAAAAGATCTAATATAAAGAAGAAGTTTCCCTCCATTAATTTTACTAATGATTTAATGGGTGATATATTTAATTTTAAAAAGTAGAGCGTGAATTAATTGTATACTCTGTAAAATAAAACAAAGGGTGTTCTATCTCTAAGTTATCTCCTGAGATGTGTGGAAAATTAGATTGATCTTTTTCTTAAAAGAAAAATAATAATGAGACCTCTTCAACTATGTAGCACATTTTTAGTGTGATAACCATCAATGTAGTAAACCAATGGTTTAGATTTCAGGTGATACCACCAATTAATGTGACACCATTATATGTATAAATTTAAGATTCTAATCTGATTGTGTATTGTAATAGTAATAGTTATTAAAAGATATTTCGTGCTTTTCATATGTGTCGTTTGTATTTTGCATTTTGATTGTAGAGTATAAAGACTAGTTTTTAGCTACATTTTGCACTCTAGCTACTGTATTTTATTTGTGTTTGAAACTAATGGACAATGATTTATACTTGCACTCTAGTTACGAGTAGTATTCCTTGTAATATGTGATTCCGCAATAGAAAGCAAGTTTAAAACTAGAATGAATAAGTTAGAGCTTTGAAGTTTAAGTATAATCCTCATGAATTAAACTCGGGGATGAGGTAGACAATTCCTTACTCCGACTTCAAAACAGCATTTTTGCATGAATCAATACTAAATTACTAACTCCTCAATCAGTTGACCTTCGATTTCGGGAGCAGAAGAACTCTGTAACGGCCAAGAGGGACCGCTACTCCTTTAGAAATCGGGAATCCGCAAGGAAGAATAGGATACAGAGTAAAGACCGATAGCGTTCGGGGTTCAAGGGCCAAGTATGGATGTTAAAAAGTAAAAAAATAAATCGAAGTGAAGAAGTTTATACGGGCACGCCATGTAGGGAACCTCACGGCGCGGCACGACTGCACAAACATGCAAGCCCGACAAAATTCTATCACGACCCAAAATCCAACTAGTCGTGATGACACCTAACCCAACCCGTTAGGTAAGCCAATTACCAACTATCCAATTCCAATAATAACTATTAAAGCAATTTAAGTGAATAAAGGTCTTAATCATATACAATCTCTAAGAACTGGTAGTACAAATTATGAGTTTCTAAGAATAGAGTATACAAAGCGGAAATGAAATAAATACATAGTCTGTTTGAACAATACATAAACAGAGCTTTTATAAATCTAAGGCTACCTGAACAAGAGGCAGCTACAACAGGAATGCAGGTACATCTTCAAGTCCCGCAACCATCGAGCACAGCAACAACAACAGCCAACATCTGCACGCAATGTGCAGAAGTGTAGTATCAGTACAACCGACCCCATGTACTGAGTAAGTAACAAACCTAGTCGTAGGTTGAAAGTAGTGACAAGCTTCCACCAAGGTCGGGTCCATAACCAATAGTCCACAACAGTCCATAATAACATAAAGCAAATAATACCAGAAGTAACTCAGAGATAAAATGCTCAGCCAAATCATGATTTCAAAAATAATAGTTCTTCCTTTCAAATACATCAGTGAAAATCCAAATCGTTTGCCGAAGTTGCCAAAAATATGAATAGTTTGAAAATAATAAATTTCTCCCAAAATCTTTTCAATAATAAATAAGATGTTTCATTTTCCTTTCGGATAACCCGTGTAAAACAAATGCATCACTATGCTCATCTGTCAAAAATACGTGAGAAATCATGAATGATGTGATGTTGTACAGCATGAGAAAAATACATCTCTATACATGTATGTCATGTGTGAATGCCAATGCGATGCAACTCAGTGATAAAATCATAAACAGCCCCTCGGGCAGAACATCAAGCATATACAGCCCCTCGGGCAAACCTCACAGTCACTCATGCCTCTCGGGCATACCTCACATTCACTCATGCCACTCGGGCATACCTCACATTCACTCATGCCACTCGGGCATACCTCACAATCACTCATGCCACTCGGGCATACCTCACAATCACTCATGCCTCCCAGCCACTCGGCACTCGGTACTCGTACTCAGTAGGTACCTGCGCTCACTGGGGGTGTGTACAGACTCCGGAGGGGCTCCTACAGCCCAAGCGCTATAATCTGCACGGACAACTCACGTGCTGCACGGACAACTCACGCGCTATAATATCATATCAGAATCCGCACGGACAACTCACGTGCCATAATAAGCCAGGCCTGCTACAGGCGGGCAACCCCGATCCATATAATAGTAATAATATTTGTAAAGCCAACATGGTCTACTGTGGCGTGCAGCCCGATCCCATAATAATCCTCACAATCATACCCTCGGCCTCACTCAGTCATCAATCTCTCCAGTCTCTCAGGCTCATAATGTCATGAAAATAGCCCAAAAAATGATGATATGATGTATCAATAAATAACAACAGAGACAGAGATATGATATGTAATGAAATGAATATGACTGAGGATGAATTTTTAATTTAAAATAAATAATTCACAGCAATATGACCTCTGTAAGTCCCAATAATATTGGCACATAGCCTCAACATGATTTTTAATATGCTTTTTAGCTCAATTTCTTTAACTCATAAAACCGCATGGAAAATGCCAAGATCATTTAACTATAAAATTTCACATAAACAATTATGTCACAATTTCTATAGTGCACGCCCACACCTCCGTCACCTAGTATGTGCGTCACCTCCCAACAATTCACATAATACATATATTCAGGGTTCATACCCTCAGCTCCAAGATTAGAAGAGTTACTTACCTCGAACAAGATGAATCCAATGTCGAGCAAGCTAAACAATGCTTTAAAAATTCCATTATGCGCGTATCAACTCCCGAACGGCTCGAATCTACCACAATTAATTTGATTCAGTCCACACAATTTATAGGAATTAATTCCATAACAAAATGATAATATTTTCCATAAAATCCGAAATTACGCTCCAAAAATCACCTGTGGGGCTCACGTCTCGAAATCTGACGAAACTTACAAAATACGACAACCCATCCAATTACAAGTTCAACCATACTAATTTCACTCAAATCCGACTCCAAATCGGTATTCAAACTTGAAAAATTTGTTTTGTGACATTATAGAAATTTTCTTCTATTTCTCTTGAAGATTCAATAATCTTACACCAAAAATGAAGATTAATTCATGGAATATAATCACAAATGAGTTAAGAACACTTACCCTAAGTTGTGTGAAAAATTTTCTCTCCAAAATCGCCTAACCCGAGCTCCAAAATCCGAAAATGGGTGAAAATGTCGAATCCTCGAATTTAAGGTTCTGCCACAGCGATTTGCGCATCTGCGGACAAAGGGTCGCACCTGCGACCTTCGCTTATGCGGGAAAAAAATCTTGCTTCTGCGAGAATAGCTTGGCCAGCCATAATCGCTTCTGTGATGCCAAGGACTGCACATGCGGTCGCGCTTCTGCGCGCGTTGGGCCACTCCTGCGCAAGCGCTTTTGCGCCCTGTCTTCCGCTTCTGCGATGCCTTCCCAACCAGCACTCTTTCGCTTCTGCGACTTGAGTGTCGCTTCTGCGACCATCGCACCTGCGAGCCCATTTCCGCAGGTGCGAAGACACTAGCAACAGAAAAATTCCAGCCTTAGCCAAAACTTCCAAAATGCTCCGAACCTCGTCCGAAACATACCCGAGTCGCTCGGGACCTCGTCCGAATATTCCAACAAGTTCCATAACATAATACGGACCTACTCGAGGCCTCAAAACACACATAACAATATTAAAACGATGAATCACACCTCAATTCGAAATCATTGAACTTTGAAACTTCAAATTCTATATCATATGCGAAAACACATCAAATCAATCCGGAATAACTTCAAATTTTGCACACAAGTCACATTTCACATTACGAACCTATTCCAATTTTCAGAATCAGATTCCGACTCCGATATCAAAAAGTCAACCCCCCGGTCAAACATCCCAAAAATTTATCTTTCGGCATTTCAAGCCTAATTCCACTACGGACCTCCAAATAATTTTTCGGACACGCTCCTAAGTCCAAAATCACCATACAGAGCTATTGGAATCATCAAAACTCCATTCCGGAGTCGTTTAGACATAAGTCGACATCCGGTCACTATTTTAACTTAAGCTTTAAACCTTAAAACTAAATGGTCCAATTCATTCCAAAACCTCACCGGACAT